CCTGTTTCAGCTTTTCAGCTATGTATCAATCTCTGTTCTACATCATGGTTCTAATAAGTTTACAAGTAAAGTGCTGTTCATGATCTTTCCTCATTTGTACAGCCATCAGAGATACCACTGAGCCATGGAGTTTTCTTGTATGTACCAAGTATTTCTTTTTCAATACATGAGAGATGATTGTGCTATCGTATGTCTTGTGTTTTCTGGTGAGGCTGCTGGATTATGACGAGGGTCAGTAGCAGCAGAAAAAAAGCATCTCAATTGTGTGGGAATCAACACTGAATGAATTTTTTGATGCATTCGGGCACTTCATTACCTGTAGGATGCTCTCAACGTGGAGCTCATGCCCCTGCCTGGCTGTCGATTGACTCCTCAGTCCTCACTGACTCACTACTAACGTTAGACAGGTACTAGGTACGACTAGTATCCGCAGTAGACGAGGAGAGAGTCGAGCCTTCAAAACCTGGAAATCTAAGTAACAAATTACTATTGCCTGTTCTCTAGTAAGAATGCAATGACACTGACACGAAGGACACACTTCAGGCTCTTGAACATCTCGAAGGTTTTTACTAGCCTATTCAATACACATCAGTGTTTCGGGGAATTACCAATCCTTATTCGAACTAGAGTAGGTTAGTGAACAGTTATGCTTCGAGAGCTTCTTACACTGCAAGTTACTTATTTAGTACTCACTGTAGTACTAGTAGCCAAACACTGCCACTGGTCTACAGCAACCCAAACATCACCAAGGATACAACCTGGAGTGACGCTCCAGCACGACAGACACCTCGTGTGGCACAAGTAACAGTTAGGAACATGAGATACAATCATGTAGTTCTCGCTCGTAGGTTGGTGAGAAACAGACGTCAAAGTCCCTCTACAGTTCACCAGTCACCACGCTCTCACCTCGAACATCTAGTCGCATCACTAAAATAGAAGTTGCCATTTCGGCGGTAGTGCCTAAAATGATAATAGTTGAGGACGTTGGTTACTCCAAAACTTGGAAGATGCGCTTCCTGCCGATCAAATCAACCTACACTTGAGCTAACGACTGCCATCCTGAGCATGCCAAGAATAACGTCGCATGCGTCGAACTGATCATAATTTGTTATCCCTCCCAAACCCTCACACCTTTTGGTCACAATGTTCGCATTTTCACATCATAATCTCTAGCTGTTTGTCTGCAGTGATCAGTGACCGAAAATTCCAATGATTATCTCTTTTTCTTTCAGTGATTGGTGTAGATCAGAGACCGTTTGGAGAGTGTTGTGAAGATGTATGGATATAGTGGATGGCTACAGTGGAGTCTTCGTATTTTGAGAAATGCGTCGTGCCTGGCTCACCTTTGTGGTGACTTCCTTCAGCCGCCAAAGTCGGTAGATCTACATTGTATATGACTTCAGTATCAATTTCACCTCCTCTCCCCTGACTCACTTGTGAGGTCTGCACCTGCCACTAAGGTGAAAAGGCATAATATTATTATATGATAGTGGTGGCCTGCGGAAGCGAAGGCTATAGCTTGTGTGTTTCTGAACATTCAAGTGATGCTAACGCGGATCCCGCGAATGCTAGTATTATTATTATTATTATTATTATTATTATTATTATTATTATTATTTGAAACTCGGATGTTGAGCCATAAATAAATGTAAAAGAGAAAAGGACATATGGATACGAGTTAAGAGTAACTCTCCATCACTGTAACATGATACTATATACAGTCAGAAAGTGCAATAACTAGGCACAAAACTGACAGAGTACTGAGACATTCGACGTCCTGACACCTAACTTCAACACATCTCCGTAGCGCTAACCGACAGCCTTCCAACTTGGAAGGTTCAAGGTTAAGGAAAGACCAAAGAGGGGAAGGCAAGCGCAACGAAAACGAGCAAAAGCTACAGTCCCAACGGAACAAAGAATGTCGATTGTTACTGGACGATGACGAGACCAGTACGATATTTGACAAAGCGGTCTAACTACAATTCGAAGCAGCAAAGCAGCACACCACCCAACTTGGGTGGGTCATAAATATCAAAGATAAGTAAAGAAAGGGAAGCTTTGCGAAAACGAATTGTACAAGCCGAAAGCCAAACTCCTACAGTACTCCTCATGCATGACATTGTGATGGACTAGTTGACTACAAAACAAGTTGTTTCACACGACGTACGTTTCGCCGTATGGTTCGTGACGGCTCATCAGGTGTGCAATTTGAAACTCGGATGTTGAGCCATAAATAAATGTAAAAGAGAAAAGGACATATGGATACGAGTTAAGAGTAACTCTCCATCACTGTAACATGATACTATATACAGTCAGAAAGTGCAATAACTAGGCACAAAACTGACAGAGTACTGAGACATTCGACGTCCTGACACCTAACTTCAACACATCTCCGTAGCGCTAACCGACAGCCTTCCAACTTGGAAGGTTCAAGGTTAAGGAAAGACCAAAGAGGGGAAGGCAAGCGCAACGAAAACGAGCAAAAGCTACAGTCCCAACGGAACAAAGAATGTCGATTGTTACTGGACGATGACGAGACCAGTACGATATTTGACAATTTCTGACTGTATATAGTATCATGTTACAGTGATGGAGAGTTACTCTTAACTCGTATCCATATGTCCTTTTCTCTTTTACATTATTATTATTATTATTATTATTATCGATTTCAAATGTCGTCATGCACACTGTAGCAGTTAGCATGCATGTTCACAATAATTCATTGCTGAGCCTCTCCTGCTAATGACCACGTACTGTGACGTAGAATATACCATGTACATTATACCAGGGAGCAACCAGCCAACAAAGTGCAGCAAAAGAATCTGAATGGGTTCATGTGTATAATTATGACATGTAAAGTGTGTGTATTACTGACAAAAAAATGCACTTTACATGAACATGTCATAATACACGTGAATCCATCCTTTTGCTGCTTGACAGGAAACATTAGCTGTAGAAGCAAAACGGACCGTGGAACTACAAGCTACGCTATAAAGTATAATAATATCCACTCACACCACCAGTAACTCTAAACAATCAGCTCATGCCATAATATTGCATGACCTTCTCGCAGAGGTATGCACACGTTCAAGAAAAATGTCAACGACCACTTGCGGCGCAGCAAGTGGGAGTGGGCCACAGACAGGCTATGATCTCTCCATCGCAGCCAACACACCAGCCTAATTATACTGACCGCACTCCAGCTCCCTTCTACCCCTCTTTGATCCCCTTCGCTCAGCCTTAAAGTCCGATTATCAGTTCTCTCCATCTTCCTACGGTGCACTGCTTTTACTATTGTTTTGTCCTATCTTATTATTGTCCTATCTCAATCTCAAATTCTCCCCATTATCATTTGCAAAGCCGGTGCTTCCCTCTTGGATGCACATGTCTCTTTTCTCCTATGTATCGGCGCACAGGAGTAACGATGATTCCGAGACCTTTGGTTGGAGGAGTTACTTTTGCCCCGCCCCCACTTACATCCAATATGCCACCGCCCCCGCCGTGCAGCATCTGATGGTACTGTGGTATTCAGTAAAAAAATGACACTGACCGACGGTACTGACGTTCTACAACTAACTGGTGGGAGTGGCATTATAACGTAACTTGTAGTTCCTTGGTCCTTTTTCTTTTTCTGTAAAAGACAAGTGTTTGTAATACAAAAAATGCACTTCACATGTCATGCATGTATACTTGAATTACTCGTGAATCCATTCTTTTGCTAGCTGCTTGACAGGAAAACATTAGTTGCAGAAGCAACAAGAAAGCATTCTTATTTTCATCTCATTTTCGTGGTGGCATGAAGTTTTGCTTGCTACGCCTGCTTGCATGTGCTTGTCGAATATGGCCTAAGGAGTGGATGCCAAGGCGAATCCGAGTTTTCGTGGTTAGCGAAAATCACATTAATTTTGGTACATGATTGTAGAAGCTTTCATGAGATTCTTAGTGCAAAACTCTTTATGCCCAAGATCTCGCCGTGTGTGAATCCTTGTGTTGTGCAGTTGTGAGCATGGATTCAATCATCTAGCGCTACATTTACAATCATGTACATGTACACAACCATTGTAACTAGTAGAGATCATAGCCAGTAACCATAACAACGACAACGATAGAGAGAGAGAGAGAGAGAGAGAGAGAGAGAGAGAGAGAGAGAGAGAGAGAGAGAGAGAGAGAGAGAGAGAGAGAGAGAGAGAGAGAGAGAGAGAGATAGAAAGAAAGAGAGAGAGATAGAGAGAGAGAGAGAGAGAGAGAGAGAGAGAGAGAGAGAGAGAGAGAGAGAGAGAGAGAGAGAGAGAGGGAAATAGATGGATAGAGAGAGGGAAATAGATGGATAGAGAGAGGAAGAAAGATGAGAGAGAGAGAGAGAAACAGACGTTGAGGGTAAATAAGAGACAGGAGAAAGAAAAAATGAACGGAGATGGTCGAGAAAAGACTTCTTCAGTGCCTAATCTTGTTGAAAATGAACAAAGGTAATAGCAAGCCAACGGTCTAAATACGTCTAGCGAAACTAAAATGCAACAGAGCCTTGAAATCTCTTGGATTGGAGCTATAAGTTGATGATTCATTGTGGTCACGTATCAGCAAAAACACATTCTTACAAGTAGTATTGTTAGGATACTAGCGTGCTCACTTTTATAATAATTATAGCCTAGAACTACTGGTGATGTTGAAATGATAATAGACCCTGTAGTAATTCTATTGCTGAAAGTAGCTCAAGTGCAAAACGTGTGCATTTTACGTGTCCTTATCGAACAATACCATGTCAGTAGCTACAATAAAAAGTTTAGTAGCTCCCTGGCGTGTAAATACCGTGCCATACAACAAATAGTCAAGCGGAGCACGTCTAGACCATAACGAACAGAACTCAGTGATGAAGTCTATTACATACAGTGCTTGGCATTCTAGTGACTTAGCTATTCCCATAGTTCAGTATCTCCCATAGCATCATCTTTTGCACGGTACGGTATGTGCGTGTGTGTGTTTCTCTCAACTAAAATGTTCAGTCGCCCTGATCCAATTTCGCCAAGTCTGGGTTGGTTCGACGTTGCCCGTATCGGTCCGGCTACAGCGGCTCTTCATGGGCACCTTACTGAACCCAGCACTTCCCGCGCATCACCGGAGCGCTTGGCCACAAATGCCATGGCACCTGTCAGGTGCATGGTACGGCTCTTCTTACTCATCTCGCCCAGGAAGATGTAGCGTTTGTCTCGCTTCAAGCGACGAAGGCACTTGCACGTTCTGAACTCGCTCCCCACCACCACCTGGAACTTGCGCCGAGTCATTGCCTGTCCAGCAGCGAAGCTGTTAGCACTGCTGACTTGCTTCGAGCGCCAGTCCGCCAGCAAAACGCGATTCTCACACCTTTTCTCCAGCACTTTGGTCTTTCGGAACGTTCCCACAACAACTGGAAGTGAAAGGAAAGCAGTCAGAAGAGAATCTCATAAGGCCAAAGAGATATCGAGTGGTGACTGTTAGTGTAAGTGACAGTGTATGGGAAACTGGGACTGAGAAAAGAGCTTTCACAGACCCTACGTCTGTGCAGGCTACAACACTTCCAAATCCATGCTATAAGGTTGACTCTGCCTCACATTCACGCACGTATAGGTTAGGGAGCGCCTTTCCACAGGGACATTGATAAACGTACAGATACTGGACTCCAGGAGAACCTTGACATGACCTAAGGTATTTCAATATTCGAGGGTATCATACAGCACACAGGTTGTTGGTGCGCGAATGGTCGGTCGTGTGTATGGACCGAAGGCTATTGCTAGGACACCACTGCATTACACGCATAGATGCATGAACATGACTAATTGCACTGCCAACGCTATCCTGTCCTTACTGGCACTAGCATTGCAGTAGAGCGCCGCCAGCTCCTCTCTGCTGCGCGCGTTGCACAGCGTCTTGCATGTACTCTTGGCACTCTTGCCTTCGCATAGAGGGGGTTGTGTTGCCTCCTCCCATCCGTCAATAGCTGTGCAAGGGATAGTAGAGAAGCCACAGCATATAGATGTACAGTAAGACCTGTAACTAAAGACCACCGTGACTAGCGACCAGCCTGGTACTACAGACCACCGTGACTAGCGACCAGCCTGGTACTACAGACCAATTTGCCAGGCACAGACGGTCTCACATTCATTATAATAATGAATAAAGTTGTGCGGTTCAAACCTCTAACTAAGGGCCACCTGCCACTAGAGACCGCTTTCTTTGGCCCCAAGGGGTGGTCGTTAGTCACAGGTTTTACTGTATTCAGACACATTCATCTTCTAATGTAGGAGCATGTGTGTACGGGATATCCACACGGTGACTTACGTGGACAGACGGTCTCGATGGTCGTGTAGATTGTGTATCTGATTGGTTCCTTTGCTTGACTGCTGCTGAAGATGAACAGCTGGATGGTGGCTTGCTGGCGGCCTTCTAGTCCGGAACAGTCCAGATGAATTCTGAATTCTGTATAGCAAAGAGAGGAAAGTAAGTTGTCATAGGATAATCAATATCCACGGTCATTGTGATGAATAATGGGGTAGCAATGCCCTGATGTCCTGCTCCAAGCAGGTGGATAAGGGGGTGATAATGTCCCGGGGTGTCCTTCTCCAACAGCGGCATGTGAATAAGAGGGGGGGGGGGGGGGGGTGTTATAATGTCCCGGGGTGTCCTGCTCCAACAGCAGCAGGTGAATAAGGGGGGGGGGGTGATAATGTCCCGGGGTGTCCTGCTCCAACAGCGGCAGGTGAATAAGGGGGGGGGGGGTGATAATGTCCCTTTGTCCTTTTCCAAGCAGATACATCCACCAGAACTCAAAACCAACAGCTCCTGTCACACAATCAAGGGACTGGTCATAAGTACTCCAACCCATGCAACATTCATGTGGGCGTTAAACACCTCGCCGGTAAACTTGTCTTTCAATAGTTTCATTGGTCTCAACACTATTATCAGTGGTGTACGTCATAACATTGGGAGAGGGGGGGGGGGGGATTCTAGGTATCACTACCTGAGGCCT